CAGTTGCTGCGTAGGAAATCAATCGGCACAACAAGCCAGGTTGCCGGAACTGTGCAGGACCAACGCTGCATTATTGTTGCAGACGTGTCCAATCCTTGATGAGACCCTGGCGTGGGTGGGCGCCCTGATCAGCATGCTCAACCTAGGGGTTTGGGCCAGGGGTTTGAGGCCCGGGCCCTCAAGGGGCCTGGGGCTTGGGCCGCCAAGCGCCAATTATGCGCGGGGAAGTCGCGACGGCTAAAAACTAAGCCCTAAACCTTGATGTTTCGACGCAACAAGATTAGTTCAAACTAGGCTGCCGGGACTGCTCGCATACTGAAACCATCCAACACGCATTTCACGGTCGGCGGATAGTAATACTAACTATAACAATAATACCAATAATAACAATAATACTGGTAGATAGGTGATAATGAAAAGAATTACCGTCAGGGCAGTCAGAGCACTGCGAGAGCTGAGGTGGGTGCCCTGCAGCTGGCACGAGGTGGCGGGTCGTTGCGCGAGGCTTCGCTGGTTCTCGGCCAGGCCTTACCCTGCAGCATCTGCCCAGATGTAAGTCAGTTCTAGACCCTGAACCTTAAACAGTAGTTCCCATTTTATTTTCCATTATCCCCATATAACCCTTACATAATGCCTATAACATCCCTATATCACCCCTATATAACCACCTAATATGTAAGTCAGTTTGCAGCTGTAGGAGTACATATGTGACAGTCGGCCCGTGCTCGTGCTTCCGCAAGTGGCCAGGCTGCCTTTGCAACTGGACAGGCGCCGGTACTGTGTGCTGTAAATAGCTCTTGGGGCAGCTTCGGAGCTCTTCGTGTGAGGGAGGCGTCGCCGTGGTGAATAGTGGTGAGGCATATCAAATAGCTACCGACCAGCGGACTGCGCCGCAATGCCTGCACGTCAATGCTTGAAGGCGGTGGACAGCCCGAGCTTCCAGACAGCTGCGGTTACGGCTGCAGTCCTTGACCCAGACAATTTTGGGGCTGTCTACGTGTCGGAAGGCTTGAGAAGCTGCTGAGGTAAACCGTGCAAAGCGAAGACGGGAGGACTTGCCCACCACATTGCTAGTTCCCCGCGCTGACTTGAAGTTGCATCTTGACATTTTTGCAGGATGCTGCAGAGCTATGGGTGACTGGAAGCTTGGCAATTTGAGAACAGATGAGTCATGATGAGTCACTAGCATCGTCCCTGCACCTCGTTTCTCTCAGTAGCATGGAAGGCCACAGGAGGCTCTAGCAGATGGATTCGGGGGCATCATCAAAACCGTGCCCTTACCATGAAATGGGCTGAGCACAGCCAGGCTCCCAGATGCTGGCGGTCACCCCGAGCGCGGGCCTATCTGCCTGGAGGGCCCTCAAAGCATTGGTTTGGATCTCAGGGGGAAAGACACATTTATTTCACGATGTTCAATGTTTCTCTCAGCGTGAAGCTTGAAGAGGCGCAGCCAAGACTCCATAATATCCGCGTTTCAAACATCTCAGAAAGCAACACGAGGGGAACTTGAAAAAACGGCAGCTGAAGCAGCCGTTAACACAGCTTTATGTGCTGTGGCGAGTACGGGATTTAAGACCTTGTCTTAGCCATTGATGGGAGCAGCTGCCCGTGCGGGTTACCAAAGTGAAAGCAAAAGCAAAGATGAGCCTGGGGACGCGGTTCCGAGTTCTGCGCCAGGTAGCCGCATTTTAAGCGGCCGTTGAACCCCAAACCCGACATCTTTTGGCTCTTTTCGCGCCCTTAGGAAAATGGAACCTCTTCCGTGTCCCAGTTGGTCCAGGAGGTGGGATCCGTCCTTTTGCACGTCTCTGTGCGATCACAGTGAGACACATGGCGCTGCACACTGTGCTGTTGCTGAAGCTTCAAGTTGCGGTCATTGGAGGTGTCTGTTTGTCGAGTAGCAAGTCTAGCAGCCTAGCAGTCTAGCAGTATACAAGTCAGCCTAAACAACGAACTGTACTTTTCTTCAAAGGTCGAGCGGGCGGTCGTCAACGTGACAGGTGCCGCGCGCTTTCAGACGTGCTTCCAGGAGACGTTTGCCAAACATAGAATCACGTCTGTTCGCCAGCCTGCTAGTGTTGATTCGCACCCGTTCAACAAAAAAAATAAGGGTGGATCCTGCACCAAGCTGAGTTATGCTGCATGCCCCAAATGCCCTGGCAATTCCGCCTCTGAGCTTGAACCAAACTTAGTGCGTACAGACGGGTCTGGAGATGCCTGCAGGTGGTTCTAGTTTCGAAACCTTGGCCCCGGCCACACAAGTGGTTCTCGCCTCATTGTTGCCTGCAAGATCGGTTCAGCAAAAATGTGGGTCTACTGAGGCAGCAGCCTACGCTGAGCCAGACTCAGCATATTTGCACACGTGTTGTGCACCCTTTGACTTCTGCGAGCCCAGGGGTTCAGCGTTGAGGATACTGCGCAGGCAGTCTTGAAGGCCGGCTCGTGAAGAACAAGAGCTCAGCACTCGACGAAAGAGCTAATTAATGTAGCAGCATGCTCTCCGGCAATCAACAATTCTGGTCCCTAAGATCCTATTAACATGAAGCCATTGTACATCCGAACATCCTCCCTCTCGGCCCTCCACGGCACCCATCGATCCCAGCATGAGAATCCGTTTGCGCCCATTAGATCCAAGAGAGGGGGGAGTCCTAGAACCCTGCAGGCTGCCGGCAGCCCTGGCTTTTCGGGCTTTCTAGCGGCTAGCTGGCCATCCCGGGCGCCGGCGTCCGAGCATGTATGGGTTAAGGGTAAAGCTTGGCGGCTTGAAGGTTGATGTACCATAGGGGTTCTCTTCGAGGTTGTACGCGAGAATGTAGGATTCCAAAGGCACGTGGGGTGCTAGCGGCTTAGGATCGCATGATTTATGGGCTTGACCATGAGCCAAATGAGGCCGTTCCTAGCATCGCCGGAATAGCAGGTCCCAGAGTCCTTCGTCCGCTGCAGAACTTGCCATTGCCTCTGCGATGCAGTTGCGGCCTTAGACTCTGTGACTTGAGCAGAAGCACCGATGACTGCAAGAGGGCATCAGTAGCCATGGCCGAGGAACTACTCTACAGCTTGCGCCTCAGGACATCTTGCGCCTCATCACATCATGCCCTTCAGGAGAGTCATACTTGTGAGGCTGTGAGAGTTCCAGACACATGTTCAGGCAAATGCCAGCCAGTGTGATCTGACCTCCACCTCCAGCAACGAGACGCTTTGCCAAAGGCACGGGCCCCGGTCTCCTGGCGGTCAGCTTCTAGCCAAACATCTAGCATGAAGTAGTTTCCAGTTGTTCTGATGATGGAAGGCGAGGTGCCATCCAAGAAGTCATCTTTACATTGATAGATTTTGATAGTATTCCTCAGAATGGAGACCACGAAGTCATGTCCATTTCGGCAGTGTTCCACGGATTGGAGGAAAAGATAATGGTATCCGCATGAAACTGTTACATCAAGCAGAAGCAGGCTACGAAGTCCATCCATTGCGAGGTCTTCTTGGCCCAGCGATGTTTGTGCAGTCCGGTTGGGCCTGGATCGCAGCTGAATTGCTCTGTGCCCGCAAGTTGGGGGCTCCTGATAACACCCCAGATTTCTTGGTCTCAGCATACAGACCTGCTCAGGACCTGTGGGCGTGGCCTGCAATATGAACAAAGAGCACTCTACTAAGGCTACCACACGTAAAAGCATGAAAAGCATACAGGCAATCAGCAAAACTCGTTACAGCAAATCAAATCCTTCTTTTGTTTGAAGCCTGTACATGTTAGCATCTCGCGCAGCCGCGCCAGTTTCAGCTTGTCAGCAAACTCCTTTGATAGTCATGCTGCAAAGGCCTGCAGCCGGGCTTCACCTGCAATGATTTCTGCGGCCAGCAGTCTACCTGGGTTATGCAGGGAGCCTCGGTCAAGACACATCTCAGACATGATTAGAACATGCGACAAGTCTTCAATGCGGCCAAAGCTGTGGTATTTAAAGGCGCCTGACGAGGCCAAGGCGGTGCCTAGACTTTGCCGTCGCGGCTTGCAATGCCACAAATCGCACAGTTGAAGCCTCAGTGTCTCAGTCTTCAGGATCTGCAGTGTAGCCGGGTCAGGGTCAGTATTTGCTCAGCAGTTGTAGCTGGCAAGGGGCCAATTGCCTTAGGAACTCAGAAGTCAGCGCGCGGTCAACAGCAGGTTTGTCTCTGGAATCAGGTCCTGCCTGATCCATGCAGCTATGCGGCCACGCAGCAGGTGGGCGGGTTGGAGCAGCGGGGAATGGAAAGATGGACCGAAAGGTCTTGAGTTTGTGTGGAAATCGCACTTAGCATGGTGAATGAGTGAAGACCTACTTGTGCCAACTCGTCGCTTGCCCGGCTCAACCCAGCAAGTATTGATTGAATTTCATAGCCAGCCAGCAGCGATGATTCGCGCTTTGAGCGGCCTTCTCTGGCTGGATGCCGCATCTCAGACGGCGGCCTGCACTGTGTTTGCAGTGGGCAAGATGGCCACAAAGGCCCTCTCTCCCCGTCAGCAGCATTTGAGTCTGTTGCTTGTGCCACTGGTGGTGCAGAGCAGGGCAGTCTTGCCCGGACAGTGTCAGACAGACGGTGTATGACTGCAAGAGCTTCTGGACGTACGTGATTTGAATTTGTTCTCAAGCTTCTGCAAGCTACTAAGCTTCTCAATGCTTACGGTCCTCAGCTGGCTGGAGGATGGATCTGTATTGATCTCGCATTCAGATGATGGCAGTCCAACAAATGATGCGGGGGCCCAAGATCGACTCACAATCGGGTTTGAAAGACTATAGCACTCAGTCCTACTAGCAGAATATGTCCTCTTTTACATGCCAAGATTTGGCGGGGGTGAATCACTGTTCGCAATGCGTGACGCACAGAAACAGCTCTGTTTTTGGTGGCGTGGGGGCTTGTGTTAGCTGTTTCCCATTCAGGCGCGCCTCCTCTATGTGCCGGCTGCAGACCACTCCCCAGATGAGAAGCGGCCAATCTACTACACCCCGGAGCTTTTCCCGCGGTACTTGGGGTAGCTGGGCGGCAGCTGGTCGCAAGGGTTGAAGGCTTGTGTGAGGCTGAGACACAGCGAGATCTTGCTTGTGGCTCTTGAGGTACCATATGGGTCCGGACTACCGTCCAGACGCCGACACCAAAGCCTACAACCTCTCAGATCCCATTGGTTACATTGAGCAGGCCGCAGATCACGATCGTGTTGTTAAGCAGCTCTCGCGCAGTGTTCGGGTGGCTCGGTGCCTTTGGGTGCGTCGTGTGGCGCAGGTGCCGCACACCTTCGGTTACCAGAGTGGCACCTATGGAGTGTTGAATGAGCATGGCGCCTCTCAGAAGCAGCATCTGGTAAATCTAGTCTTATTGTTTGGCTCTCAAGTTGAGATACCTTCAGAACTGTTCCATTGTGATGCGTAGAGCTACAAAAAGCAGCCTTCTTGGAATGCCCTCACCATCATGAGTATCCGCTACAGGATTTCAAGAAAGACTGATGTCCTTTGTCCAGGTTTCGGTGGCCGAATCCACCTGCAGTGCTGTCTTTGGCACCTGCGGAAAGGGCTCCACAGCAGCTTGGCAGAGGGTGCAGCGCCAGGTAGGATTCTGGACAACATAGCAGGCATTTGATGATGCTTCTGACGAACGCCACAAGCGGCGTGCTCTAGAAAACTGCAAGCATGTCGTCATATGTAATTGTCGAAGTACATTTTTTGCCGTGCCCCATGCACTACCTGGTAACGGCCTCTATAATATGTTTTTCCAAGAGCCACCCTTTTTTTAGATCTTCTGTATCCGACCTTGGCCAGAACTGCTGTCAAGATTGAGGGCATCGCTTAAAAAGGTTGGGTCTGGCAGGTTGCCAAAGACAGGGTTCCGTAATGCAACATCAGCGCCTTCTCATACTGTCTGGCACTGGCTAGCAGAGTCTAGATCCTGCTCTGGAGATCTCCCAAGCACTGCGAGGGTGTTTGAATCTGCAGAGGTGGGTTGCGAGCCTGGCCGGAAAGTTGGTTCTGCGCTGATGAGAAACTGGGCTGCGCTTCAGGAACGTTTTCCTTGCAAGCATTGATATTGACATTGTGGTGTATACTGCGCTTGAAGAGCACTCGCATTCTGAAATGTGTGCGTGCTATAACCTAACTATGGCGTCTTTGTGGACGGTGGTCGCAGCTGCTGCGAATCGGGGTGGTATTTTGGGACATGCCCGGATAGGCCTGATGTCAGGCATTGACACTCTCTCCTACCTGGCCATGGAGCGCACTAGAACCTCCCGGGAAGCAGTTGAGCTCATGGGCTCGCTAGCTTCAAAATATGGTCCCTTGGATGCGATGAGCTAGCTGCGGGCTGCCTTGTCAGAATGGAATCCACCTTTCGCTGTCTGAGGATTTTACGGGCCGCCGGACTCCTTCGAAGGTTCGGGAGAGTCTCTTGTCGTTGGAGACCCGGACGAGGCTGGACCTATCTAAATCGCACAGTACTACCTGAACCTATTGTGAGTGCGGCATCCTCAATTAAAGAATCAGCTAAGGAGATTAGAGGATATATTGGGGATATATAGGGATAGTGGAAAAGAAAATGGAGACTACTATTTAGGGTTTAGGGTTAAGAGTTTAAAGAGGCCTGGGCATTCCAGATCCTGTCGGATCCCACCGGCACAAGCGCCATTTGGGCTGCCAAGCGCTTGCCGGATGATCAGATGACGGTGGTGGCCGGGAGCCTAATTGCATAGTTGACTGTTATTATAGTATACTATCATATTTATAATATACTATAGTATACTATAGTTTAATATAGTGTACTATAGTATAATATAGTATACTATAGTATAATCTAGTACAATATATATATATATGCAGTAAAGTATAATATGCAGTCATTACCAAGCCATTACCTTTCCCTGCTTATCCCCAGCTCTTGCCATGTGCGAAGAGGCCAACATGTACACCATCCGCGAGGTAAAAGCCAATGACAAGGCGTGTCCTGCCTTACTAATCGCTGTTGTTGCTTGGGCAAAAAGCAAGTCAGGGTGCCTTGTTAAGCTGGCAGGAGAACTACATTCTCTCTCCCAATATCTTTGAAGTGGCGAAAAGCAAGGGCTGGCCGAGCTCTCAGCTTTGTTTCACTTCTCCCGGGGAAGTATGGCGCACCATGATGCACGATGATGCACGATGATTGGAGGTGGAAGGAAGGTACTGCCTTTGACTTCACCCTGATGTACTCTGGTGGCGAGCCTCTTGCCAGAACAGTTGGGACTTGCCAGCCAAGCGCATGTTACGTTTGGCGACGTGAGCTGGCCACTCCTGCGTGTAAGGCATGACATGATGACACCCTTCAACTTGACCCCTTAAATTATTTGCCTGTAGGAATTTTGAAGGGTTTGGTTGGCATGGAAGGAATATCCCACATCCTGGAGTCTGCCAACCATGCATGATAAGTGCTCTGAAGCCTCTGGTGATTTTGGAGCAGTCAGGTATGCACACAAGTACTACTCTGGCCGGCGGATGTGGCGGGGATTGCAGATGGCAAAGCCATCGCTGGCACTTCCCACCACGTACGAGGACTAGACTTTGTACCGAGCTGGCTGGTTTCAGGGTGAGATATTTCGAGTTGTGTTTTGTTCTCCCAGTTATTGCCAGCGTCGAAGTCAATTTCTTGGATATGTGCCAACGAAAGCGCATGATTCCGCATGATGGCTACTTCCTGCCGTAGGACATTCGATACAAGCCAGTCTATCCATGGTCGGTTGTACCTGATGCAAAAGTTTCCCACCACGATCTAATGGCTTGGCACAGAGACTGGTGTCGCAGCTGAACTATGGGTGTAAAAGCAGGGCAGGTGTTCTTGCAAAGAGTGGCAGTTCTCTCTGCTCAGGTATGCAGGGACAGAGTTTGCCCCGGCCTTGGTCTTGTACACACAGGTAAGCATGCAAGTCAATCTCCGGCACTCAGCAGCAAGCACTCAGGACATGACCAAAGGTATACAAGCCGGACCGTTCGGAACCCCAGACAGGTACCAGACGGTTTCGTCAAAGGCCGGACGCCCTCAGCTTCACTTTGGCAGCTTATCTTTCCAGTGTAATTTGTTTGCTTTGGTACAGTGTAAGCATTGCTTCTGCAGAAAGATGCACGTGCTTGTTTTTTCTGGCTTTTGCAGGTCAAGGGTCACTGGGAGAGATCCATTGCCCTGTACCGCACCAACGCTGTTTATGTCCACGACTTGGATTGCTGCCCCACGTCATTTGAGGTTCATGATCGAAAGATGCAAGATTGTACCTGGAGCATGGAGATAGGTTCAGCAGCTGCATCATCCCGGTGAGGGCCGCCCACAAGGCACCGCCAAGCTGCCCCAGCAGGAATGATGAGCTGAAAATGGATGCAGGAATGGCCAGCGTTGCCTGGTATGCTGCAGGGCCACCTCACTACGCAGCACCGTAGCTTGCTAGCGTCTCATTTAGGACCAGAGACGCTCAATTGCAACTAAGGCATTTGTGCCCATTCCGTCTGGAGTGAATGAGACGATCCATGCCCTGCAGTTTGCAAACCCCAAGAAGTTCGAGAACTACTCGATGAATTGGTTGGTTCGCCGAGTCATGGATGCGGCTCTGTCGCAGAGTTATACGGAGAATTTCAGGGCCTAATGGTTGCTACTGCTTCCACTTACTTCCGGCATCCGTGTTGCTTGCCAAGGTTTGCCAGATTCGGTTCGATGTAATGCACAATTACGTGTACAGTGCGCAGCAGGCCGCATTCGCCTTCATTTGGGTCTTGTGAATGCGCTGCGCTTGTCCTGCTGTTCAGACGTCACATGATGTAACTTGTTAAGCGTTAGGCACCTCATCTTTGAAACAGCTCAACTTCTTGTTGTTAAGGACAGAAAGGTGGATTCAGACCGGCAAGTCAGAGCCCGCTCTGTGTGTCATGTGTGTCAGGCAGTAGAAATGCAGGCGGATGCCCTCATTGAAAAAGTTGCTCGGACGCAGAAGTGCTCAGTTGGGTGTTTCGTCCAGCAGGGCGACATCCTCCCTCCTGAGGTCCGCCAGGCAGGTACCACCAGCAACTTTACTGCATGAAAACTGGGGATGAGGGCTTTTTCTGTGGTAGGCACTGTTTGTCCCAGGCTGCCAGTGTTGGCAGGAGGCAGTGCCATTGAATGAAGCTTGAGCTGAAAGGTGATAAGGTACTACTCAGGCTTCTTTTGGCATCATGTTCGCACCCAGTCGCTTGCAGTTTCCAAAGGGTCCCAGGCTGGCTACAATGCCAGATGCAGTGACAAAAACATTAGCCGTAGTTTGGCAAACTGGTTTGGGGCTGTTCTGTTTCAGTGCTGCTTCCAGTGGATGTCAGGATGGAAGCAGGTTCTGCTTTGTGTCGAACCTGCTTTGAGTCGAAATAGATCTTACAATTTTTGTAGATGGTGCAGTTTGGCTGGAACATATCATATGCAGCTTGCAAACTGCGTGCCGCTGCGTGCCAGAGGCCCAGCTGAGCTCAACAAGATTTTCCAGGAGCACGCCAGCCAGGCCTTTTGTCAAGCTTCCAGCGTTCTTCAATGCAACATTGATGACCAGCCATCGACAGTCTGCTGGGACCTGAACAGGTGCTGCAGAAGTGGAAAGAGCTGATGCCCTTCCTGCTCTTCCGTTTCAGCACCTGGGCCAGTATTTGCAGAATGCCTGTTCCCAAGTTGCTGAATGTGGCGCGGGCTGCGAGGTGGCAACACAGACATAGAAACAATGCAGAGCCTAAGCTATCCAGATGCTTGGCTGGATGCATCGGGCTACAAGGACTGCGCAGCATCTTTTGCATGATGCGTGATCTGCATGGTTTCTGCATGCAGCAGCTGACACTGCCAGGATGGACCTCCAGATGCCCCCAAGGAGGACAGGTGCCCGCCGAACTGCGACCCGCCGGCCAGCGCGGCCGAAGTCGTGGTCTGAGCCCTGTACATACGCCCTATCTCGCCTGTTCTTGGCAGGTGAGAGACCATGCCAGCCTTTCCTTCCGCTGACATAGACCCCCTAGGCTCAGTAAAGGTCGTAGCCCAGATGGCCTCTGCTGAAAACTGAAGAAATTATCCTGTGAGCAAGGAGATTGAAGGAAGGTCGAACTTCTGCGGAAGGTTGAATCAGCACGATTTGGGCGAGGGGCCCATTCCGCGCAGGCACTCAAAACTTGCTGAGCTGACAGCTTTGTAACTGCAGAGCCTGCTGGTAGCAGCTTGCATCACTGGAAGCGCAACCCAATGCACATCTCAGAGCACGTCCGTCTCTAAATCGAAATGACAGGAGTCTGAGACGGCAATTTGTGTGTGAGGCTTAGCACTGGGGAAGCTACGTGCAGCGAGGATTAGATTCAGTTTGCCTGGCACGATGCATCCAGTCCGGACTTTTTAATCTCAGATTCTCGATGCCCGTCGCTACCCCAGCGCCATGTAACTCAACATGCGGCAAACGCTGTCCGCTCTTGAACAAATTCCCAAATTGTCCTTCAATTCAGTGATCCCCTACCTTGTAGCTGGCTTGTTTCAAATGCCGGATTCAGCTGCATCGTCGAGTGCTTCTGGCACCCAGGTCTGCAGCGGTCGTGAGCGTGCTGGAAGCTACGGCGCCAGCGTAGCAAGTGGCGCGGCAGCCCAGGGCACGAAGTCCGCTTGATCTCATGCAGATACGTCTGACCCTGACTCTTGGAGTCGAGTCACACCTGTTTCGTTGCTTTACAAGGAATGGTGCGCATTGGATCTGAAGCACAAATCATCAGCCTCATGGGTCAAATCGTTGGGCACTCAGTCAAGAATAGTCAAGACCTAGATGTGAAGCACATGGTCTCCAAGCGTGTCCGCGTCTCTCCGAGGCTTACAGAACCATCGCCCCCTGGGCAGTGCCTTGCTTGGCTGTGAGTTGATTCGCGAAGTGCTCGCTAGCTGCCTCAGCCGATGCCGCAAGGTCATCTCATCGGCAGGTGCTCAATTGCAGGCCTGCTGCATGGGCAATGCGAGCACAAATGTCATGCTGTATCCGACACAGTGCGCATGCTTCTTGGAGGTGAACTCAGACGAGCAGCAAATTGCAGAAGCAGTCATTACCGCAAACAGCCATGAACTAAGCGTGCACTCTCTTGCATCAGCCCAAGCGACGCCTTGCAAATGGCTGTACTGACTCATGCTTTGAGGTCACCTCGCCTTCAGCATCTCTGCAGCGCAGGCATCCAAAAGTGAGTTTCTTTCCAATGGTGTCTTTTGAGACAAAAGAAGAATTTCTTGTGTTTTTTGGCGGTACTTCTCCGCCTAAACAGGCCGCCTATGCCGCTCACTTGCTGGCAGTCGCCCACGGCTTGGACAGTCAACAGCTCAGTTGGGAGTTGAGAACGTTGAGGCCATCTCCCGCAGTTGCAAGGTGGCTTAGGCGTCAGCATGCGCTCATAACCTGGCCAAGGCAAAGCCTCTGTTTCAGCAGCCGTCCAGGTGGCGACCTTGTTTTCCTCAGCATGAATCCGTGCTAAATGGTAGGGCACGTCATGGCACGAAGACTCAACCTTGCTGTGCTTGCCACGAGTGTCATGCCAAAAGTGCGGACCATCATCAGACACATTCGGACGCCATCAACAGCGCCAAGGCTGCGCATCTGCGAGATCCCGGAGGCGGGCCGCTACGGCACTTGACGGCTAGGCTCTCAGGCTATAGCCGCGTCCGGCTTGGGTCAACGCGTGAAAGAGTTCAGATTCACTTGAGTCTGTGCGCACTTGAGCAGTGCGAAGTATGGCAGAAGTGCACGACACGGCACCCGCAGCTTTACTGAGCTGCTATGTAGTAACTACAGCATGACAGAGCATCGCAAATCCTGGGCCACCGCGGCTACAGAGTGGACGAACAGATGTCAGACGAAATTGTGCGGTGCTTTCAAGCTCCGACCAAGTTAACAACAGCTTTGACTTCTTCCTAGGCCACCTAGAAAATATCAGTCACGAAGTGAGTGTCTCAAAATGCGGGTCCTTCTCTTATCCCGGGCAAGGTCGAGGACTACAGCATTGTGGAAAGACTCATCTGTAGCTGCAAGTATTGTCATGAACACCCTGCAAAATAGAACACCACCTATCATACATGAAGCCCCAAGCCTCAACTAGGTAGGGGTCTTTTCGGGTCGAGTGCCGGGCAAGGAGGTGTTGGTCCTCCGCGGAGTTCCGGCAGAAGAGGCCTGGGCTCCTTCTGCCTTGGCTGCCGGTCTTACAGTATGTAGGTGGGTTCGGAGCGAGAAGGAGAGCATGTCAGGACGAACTGGTGGTCATAGGTCTCGATACTGTTAGGATTTTCCAAAATAGTACTGATTACTATTAGTACTACTATTGCTAATTATTTTTAGTATCACTGTTAGTATTACTATTGCTATTCCTACTGTATGATTAGTAGTATTATAATGTTGAAGACCCCTAGTTGTATACAACCGTCTGGCCTGAGGAACGCTTCTTTGCTGCTCAGGTTGAGCAAGTCGCAAAACCCCGCAAAGCAATGCAACTCCTGTCTCAGAACGAATGCTTGATTACCTGATATGCTTCCGGGATCTTGCTTTCACCGCTCGTCTAGCAATGGAGCCATCACATTTGCACATCCCACCCGATCCATCACTTCACTCGAGAGCCTCTTCGCTTTTGTTTTTGCTTGTTCATAAACCTAGCTTCCATTTCATTTTCCACTTGCTTTTCTATTTGATTCTCCATTAGTGTTTGGGGTCCTGTTACGACGTTACGATTTTGGGGGCCGCTGAAGGCTGAGCCTTTGACTTTCTGCCTCGGCAAGTACCGGCACGTAGGCTCGTAGAAACATACTCTTGGAGCTCCAATTACACACACTTCCCCTGGTGCAGCCATGGGGAACTGGCCGTGCGCTGAAGAAGCTTCTCAAGGCACTTCCAAATCGCAGATGGTGCACAAGAGTTTCTTCCCTATGTACTTGGTCAAGGCTCGCCAACGAGAGCCTTGCGCAGTGAAAGCTCAAGATCCGCCTCTTCCCCCCCCTGCTTCAGGTGTCGGACTTCCTCCAGATGGAAGGAGCCCCAGAGTCGCACGACGTCCTGAAAGAGCGCGGCCTGCTCCACGAGTGGAAAGCCGGGATGTTTGCAATCTTTGTTTCACACCAGTGGCTTGGACGTCAGCATCCAGACCCCAACGGTGAGCAAGTGGCCGTGCTTCGCCAGATGTTGCAAGGGCTCATTAATGGTTCACTGACTGTTGCGGGGGATCTTGTCTCTTCCACCTACGGTCAGGGGAAGCGCCTCACCTCAGAGACGCGCAAACAGGTGAGAGGGGTGTTCAAAAGTTCATACAAGGAACATTTCATTAAGGATTACAAGGGAATAGTCAGTGTTGCTAATTATGCCTGTAGCTTTAACTTTTGGGAAGGCGGTGCTGAGCTTGGCTTGCTATTCTTTGAAGCTCTCCTTGCAGTTGCTTCTTCAGAAAATGTGCAGTGCTTTCAATTGCGAGTATGGCTCTGAAGAGGACTGGCTTGATGTCGGTTATTGTGCTGTTGAGTTTTGGTTGTCATCATGATTTCGTTGCTGATTGGTGTCCGCAGATCCAGAATCAACGCAGAGATTTCAACAAGCTCTCCCTTCCCGCTTCGAAAAGCCCCGTGATTTGCACCTAGGTCTCTGCCTTTTGCTTGAGCTCGTTGACCCTAGAGATCCCTAGAGTCAATACCCCAACTTCTGAAACCAGCATACCTTGGCAGCCTAGAGCGCCTCAGATTCGAAACGTGTGCTCCAAGATACCGCGTATTTTTTTTGGTGCTGTGCTTTCTCGTGCGTAAGTTTTGACCTCTGCCTGCAAGGTGGAGTGTGGCTACGTCTTCTTGGATTGGTTTGCAATACCACAGATTACAGCCCGAGCAAAAGGTGTGAACGAAGAGGTCACCAAGTCGGATGCAGCACTGGCTGTTAAAAGTATCCCTTCATATGTCGAGGCAGCGAGCCTCTTTGTTGCTCTGGTTCCATTTGTGCCGCATGCTGACACGAAAGAGTGGTGTTCATACACAACCTGGCTCGCTCGCGGCTGGTGTCGCTGGCTTAGTTGCTGAGCTGTAGCACCAGACCCGGGACAATCCGTTTTAGCCTCAGACTTTAGTCCAGCACTATACTTCTACATCCCGAAATGCGCAAATAGCAAAATGGAGGAGCTTTGCGGATGGAGTGCGCGGTATTGGTAATCAGGGCATGGCACCTGATCATCCGTTGCAAGGTCGGATACAGTCTCAGCCGTAGACTCCAAGGTTCCATTTGCTGCATCAGATGCCATTTTGATTAATGGGAGGATATTGGAGGTGTCCGATTTTTCCCGTTTTGCACCCTCCTCCTGCTAATCAGCTGACTCAAGCACCGACCGCAAACCATGTAATGGGCATTTTGGACCAGAACCCTCATGACTCATACTGTACCTCTACAAGTGGCAGTCCATGAAAAGTGAGGCCGTGCTGAGCTGTGGCTTCACATGCTGTCAAGCAAGCCTGACACAAGTGTCATCCTCGTGACCTCAGTGCCAGAAGCAAAGTTCATGTTTCCTTTGGACTGGCTCGAGAGCCTCAGTCGACACAGTCGCTTAATTGTTGGTTTGAAGCACTAGTACAGCTTTTTGCAGTGTACCATGCAACAGCCAGGAACACGATTGCCAGTGGAGATTTCACAGTCGAGGAAGACCGTGCTGTGGTGGTTCAGCTGGGGCAGAGAGCGCTGGAATCCAAGATCCGCGAGCATAGGCAGTCTGGGCCACTCGCGGTGTTCCGGTTCTATCGGGCGCATCAGTGGAAGATGCTGGGCCAGAAGCGGTCCGAGTGGGGCGTGCAAGAGTTTCTGGATGCCTTTCAGTTCCCTAGCCTGGAAGATGCTGCGAAGGATCAGAGTAGCATGAGTGCCCTCATGTGTGCGGTGTTCACTGGCGACAGTCACATGATTCGTCTGCTGGTGGCTAACCGTGCCGATGTGAACATCAGAGCTCATGGCTTATCAAAGGCGGGATACTTCGACGGTCAGCCACTGATCGTTTGTGCGGCAAAGTCCCACCAACCCGCCCATGTCCTGGCCACACTTTGTGAGCTGCGCGCAGACGTGCATGCCAGAATGGGTTTAATGGGTTCGACAGTAGCACCCATGGTACGCTCGCGGGAGCAACTGAAGGTAATTTTGGATGCAAGGGCGGACTTTCACGGGCACTTTGACCCCGCGGGTCACACTCCACTTGGTGGTGCCTGCGGCATGGCAAACTCCGAGACCATTGCCGCGCTGCTGGAAGTAAGGTGCAATCCCAACCCACCCCTGTATGGTCTCGGCCAGAGCCCTTTACACCATGCAATCCTGTTCTCAAGGGGAAACCCTTCTGCCTTCAAGATCGTCCAGCTGCTGCTTGAGCATGGAGCTGACCCCAATGCCCTCACCAATCCAACTGGAACATTCAAATGGATGAGCCAGGCGGCTCAGGCGTATGAGGTCATCATGGGGAGGGAGAACTGCAGCTTCCTTGTCCGCTGCTACGCCATTCTCACACGCTTATCCCCGCTGGGCCTAGCAGCGTTCATTGGCGACCCTGACTTGCTCCAGCTCCTGCTCGATTTTGGCGCAGAAGCACCTGTGCCAAATAGTCGAGGAGACTTCCCCGTGGACTTGGCAAGAGAGAACGGGCATTTCCATTTGCTGCCCATCCTAAATACCTTCCATGTCTAGTCTGTGTTGCGGCGCGAAGCATTCCGCAGCCAGTCATGGACTCTTGGCATCCTGTCAGCGTGTGATTTGCCTGCGCTGGCTGTGTGCTCGTCCTTCGAAAAATGCGGATTCCTTGAGGACCCAAATGAGAAAGAGTGCCTGAACTGCTTTGGGATGTGAAGCTGGCACTCGTAGGTGTCAACTCTCTGAAAATCCGCAGCCTATGGACAGATGAAGACTTCAAGTGTTGCCTGAAATGTCAAGTGACTTAGCTGTGGAAGTCCAAGCGCCGTGAATATCTGTGAAGGCAGTCCGCGACATGATCGCTGCTACGCGACTTCCTCAGCCTGACTGGGCAGGTCTTTGCTTGGCTCAAAAGACTCATCTGCAATGATGATGCAACAATATTGCGGCCTCTGCGGTAAACCTGAGATTGCAGACAGTTTTGCTTGAGGCTGTCCGCTCTTCCTTCACCTTCAGCTGCAGCATCCATCACTAAGGCCAGCCTGTTGGTTGATGGAGCCTTTTTTTTAGAACGTTCATGTGGTCGGCAGGGCCTGTGGTGGTACGAGCTTTTCCTTGAAGCCGCAATCGAGCAGGGCACTAAGATCTTGATGGATGGTGAACACAGCGTGCGGTTTGCATCACAAATTGATTTTCAGTGGCTTGTCAGTATGATAGCCAGGCCGCTTCAACTCGGCGACCTTCAACATGAATTTGAAGGTGGCGAGCGTATGCGAGCGCAGTGGGCGGGTTGAGCTTCAGAGAGCAGCAGGATCGGAAACTGGCTTGGAATAGTCAGCTTTAGAGGCATACGGAGGTTCCATCCACGACATAGAGTGCAGAACATCCTATCGTGTGCAGATCGCCGAAGGTGGTGACCTTGCCATTTTCTCCTATGTGCTGGACGCCGCTGTCAGAACGCCTGCTGTGCTTGCATGAATCTCAGCCTTTCGGACTTAGGAGGAACTTGCGATCACAGGCTTGGACATGTATGGCCTGAGGCGGCAGCTGGTGGCGAAGAGCTAGGCCCGGTTCCTTGCCCGTTGATTGAGAATTTCTTCTCGTTGCCAGCTCTCATGCCCGCCTTCCAATCCGGAATAATGACGGAGTTTTGACAATTGTGCAGCCTTGGAACAGGTCATGCTGTTGCTCAGATCGCGAGCAACTTGTCCAGCTTTTGGCATGTGCAGCATTGCTTGAAATAGCACCTGAATCCCATCATCTTAGAGCTTGTCGCCTTGATAGTTGCTTTATGGCCGGAAGTGGGCCCTCGATCATGCTTTTGTGCATTGTTTTGCCGTCAAGCACAAGCTAGGTGAAATCAATGCCACGGCGCCAAAGGCAGTGCAGCATGCTGCCTATGCAGCTGCACTGAAGGCAAATCTGCTGCGTTGCTTCACGGATGCATGTGGGAGCTGCAGCACCAAAGCTGATGGCAGGCTTACCTAAGCACAGAGCAGGCTGCAACAGCTGTTGCAACAGTTAGTTCTGCTCCGGGCATGGAGACGACTGGGCCAGCTTGTATCTCAGTGTCTGCAAGCAATGTGGAACCAGCCCTGCAGTTGCTGCACGACATGAGGCTGTGAGCCTCTTGAACTATCTCCTGGCAAGCGGGTACGCGCTTGATCAGGCACTACTCTTGGTAGATGTCTGCCCGCTCTTGAAAAATCATGTGTTGCTGAGAAGGCCTTGACAGTAGTTTCCACAGCTTGGCAAGCACAGGGCTCAGTTTCCCGCAGTTGAAGCTGCAAACTTGGCACCAACTAAATGCCCGTGCTGCTTATGCTGTCTGGCTGGTCTTCTTAGCAGCATCAGGCCTTCTCTAACTCCACTCTGGCGCTGGAATCTGCTGGTGCCGCCCTGCGCTGCACATCCTATAACCATGTCATCTGCCAACTTGCAGGCTCTCAGTTCCGGCTGCAGTTCCAATCCAAGTATACGTGGCAGCATGGACCCAAGCCCTCGTTGGAAGTGCAATCTGCAAGGCTCAGACTGCTTGGACATGTTCTTGCAAAGCATGGGATAAGACATTGCTTAAGCTCGCTTGAACCACGAAAGCCACTGAGGGCTGTTCCAGATGAGTGGAAGACTCCAACAGGACCCTGGCATCGGTGCACCAGAGTGGGCTCAAATCCGTAATCTAACCCACATTGTTGCTTGTTCCTTGGATTGGGGACAAGACTTTGCACAGCTCGCCCCTGTCGTCTTACTGTTCTGTCCGCCAATCCTGCCCTTGGGCCCCTCCTGACCGAGTGGCTTCTCTCTGTTGCCAGCCCGTCTGGCTCGTCCGTCTTAGGCTTCAACATCTGTTTCACTCATGTCGCGCCAGGCTGGCCTGCCTGCCTGTTGGCTCTCATCTGCTTGCGGTCGCCAACTCTGCTGTCCGTACCACAGCCGTTTGCCTCGAGGCGTGTTGACCACCCTATTGCCCCTGCCTCTCAGGACGTCATCCGCCTTTGGCTGGACTTACTCTCTGCCCCTTCCCTTGCACGCTGCATTCTGGTCAGCCCTCTTCTGCAGTGTGAGGCCTATGCCAATGCCTGTGGGGACTCTGTCTCTGCAGGGCTTGGTGGTTTTGTGAGGTTTCCTGGGCCGCACCCTGCATTTTCAACAGGTCTTCTCCGCCTCTGACCAGGCTGTTGTTGTGGACTGGTTTTCTGCTACTGCTTGTCCTCAGTGTTTCATCGCTTGTTGGGAGCTTCTTGCGCAGCTTGCCCTGGTTTGGGTGATCTACCCCCTGCTCCAGTCCAACCACTGGCACGCCCTAAATCCCAAACCCAACATTACATTGTATAACCCCAACATGACCCCTATAACCGCATTGTTAAGGGGTGCGGCTTGTATTATGAGCCTCAAACCCTAAAGCACCTTTGGAGGACTGCCGACAAGTCTGAGCCCCAGCCTGGCTTCATGTCATCCCAAAGCATGAAAAACGTTGTAAAAAAAAGCAAGTCGCGCTCATAGTATTTATAGTAACAACAAGAAAAGTAGCAAAGTATCAGACATAAGGACAATAACATTAGTAGTAGGAGTGGTAGTAGTGGACGTCGCCGCCGCTGCCGCCGCAGTCGTTGTCATAGCCGCGATGGTGGCGGTGGCGGCGGTGGCGGTGGTGGCAATGCTAGCAGCAATAGCAATAGCATTGATTGTAATAAGTGAATACGTCACAGTTGTGAAAATACTGGCAATACTTAGATGTGTGGCTTCATCTCTTCACAATGCACTTTTTTTGCATCAAAGACATGGCAGGCGGCCCTGTGACGGCGATCGAGGAAGCGACCTGGTTGCAGCATTGACAATTTTTCGGTGTTCATGTGGAAGTCTGACTGGAAACGAAAGGGAGCATCAGCAGAGGTGCACGAGCCCTACGTCATGCGGGGTCTTGCTGCTGTCTTCCAGGTTGCGCCCGATCAGGCTCTGAGCTGATGCGCTGTGATGGTAAGACATGATGACAGCCGGTCCAATTTGTCCGATTTGGTTGCGATGGGGGCTTGCAGGTGTTCCTTCGCTCTGCCTCGTCACGGCGACTGTCTGCAAGGCCAAGTCACAAAAGCTAGCTCCTTTGAAGCTTGCGAGAGGTACTGCCAACATAGCCTCCTGGGCCATGGACAATTTTTGGGACGATCTGGCCCTGATAGCTTAGAGATTTAGACGTGCGTGGGAGGGGGGGACCCCTGCCCCCCACCTGTGAAGCTTAATGTCCATCCACTGCCAACCTCAAGGCCCGCCCCCCGCTGCGGACCCCATAGTTTCTTGATGTTTGGACATGTTTTCAGTCCATGAGAAGCCCAGATTCTGCTTTTCACCTCAGTACTTCAACTTTCAGTGCAGGTTTTGCAGTGGAGTGTCCGCGCTGCTATCAAGTAGGGTTTTCATTACCACTGGCTCCTCACAGTCTCTAGCACTTGATTCTTCTCGGGGAACAATGCCAATGTCAAGTGCCCAGTATTGCAGGAGCTTGCCACGCCGATTGCAGTTAGCGCGCTCAGCAAACTACAAATTACCTCGCGATTAATTGTGGCAGCGGTGTTTGGTTGTGTATGCCAGGAAGATATGTATTTGAATCAAAAAGAACATGGAAGCTGCTATAGGTTAAGGCAAGGATTTAGGGTATGCGGTGGCTCCGTACTATAGAATCTTGATACAACATACTTAGATAACGAAGAAGAGGGTTCTTTAAGTGGAGCCCGCTCGAGGTCTGGACTACCTGAATGCAACCTCGACTTTGCTTGGGGCCCAGCTGACAGACGCGATCGCTCAGAAAGCTCCTTGACACTGTATTATGCTGTATTTATTAAGTACATATATGCCAAATTCTATAGAATTCTATATGTAATAAGTTCCACATTTTACCAAATTGCAGTTTCATCATTTTGCCATATTATCGAATGTTATACTGTTTGCCAGGTTGTTGAGATTCGCGCAAGCGACGATGCCCCCAGCCAAGTGACAGCTGGGGCTTGACTGCTGGGTGCTGTTTCCCAGCCCTACTCACCAGATTAGCATGATCCGTGCTGTCCTTCCTGTTTTACTCACCAAAATCCTCGTCAAAACAAGCAGAGTCGTCGTGAGTGTTGCTTGGCCCAGGCCAGTCTCATCTCACAGCGTTTGGCGGACTTCTCGGGAGGGCCGAGACCCCGGCGGGCATAATAATGGGAAGGGATTTTCGCACGGGCAGCGCAACCACCCACCTGCCCTTCAAATTCATCAAGACGTAGCTATGTGGTGCTGGCTACCTCTCGAGACCTAAATCGCACAATTCTGCCCTCATGAGAACCTAGCGGAGACACCTTAAGTGTGACCTGCGAGGTTGAGCGTTGAACAGAAGCACTCCCCGCAATTTTCGGACACTGTTCCCTAGAAGCTATGTAGATTAAGGGCGCAGATTTTGCAGAATCGCGAGAACCTGTAAGGTCTTGGGCCCTCTTTGATCAGTTTGAGCAGGCCGTTGAGGAGGCATTGGCCACTGCATCATCCAGAAGTGTTGTTGTGGTTTCTCACAAGTTGAAGTCCATTCC